GTTTCAAGTAGCCAAAATTTTGTAGATGTCAATGATACACGTTCTTCGTTGAGTATCAAGGTTTGAAGAAAACATATAAAACTACGATTCCAGCTTCATATAAAATAAGGGTTAGCGTCATGTGCTGAAAAGCTGGAGGGAAACATCGTATACGGTCTCACTTTACAGAGCCGCCCTTTTTATTTAGCACAGTGGCTGAAGCTAATGGACTTTCCGCTATATGCTGGGTTGTGTTCATGCAAATTCTCTCTACTTTATATAAAATTCTAAATTAAAAAAAAAAAGCCATCAGTAAGGCACAAGACACAGGGATGTATTCATTCGGCTTGTGTACGTATGTATTTCGGCGTGTCTGCGAGTGTGCATGTGTGTAAGGAAAATATGATAAAGCAAAACAAACAAATATAATTTTGATACAGAAAGCATTCCGTTATAATGAACCCTTAGTTTCAAAACTGCAGATGTCAACGTTTTGGAGGACTAGAAGGTTTCATTCTGAATTTGTGGAGTCGGGCTGGAATCCCTAAACTTCTGCGTTTCTGAATATTCACCGCATAAAAATGGTACCTGACAGCGTCACAGAGTGGCCGCCAACATGCGGCTTCCTTCTCATAAGCCGAGACAAAGGCGAAAACTGACAACTGAAAAAGGATAAAATGTCAAACGAAAGAAACTTTTCTTTTAATCTCATTTCAACATTTGTTAGTAAAACTTTCCTAACAATACAAACGAAAATTCAATGTTCTAGTTTCCCGCATACAGACATCCGTCACGTCGTGTTACAATATCAAAATGAAATAGAATTCGTTTGAAGTCAAAACACGTGTTTCTGTAAGGTTACTAAGGCATGTGTCACGTGTTAATATACCCCTTCATCGCTGGAATATTTCTCAAGATAATCTGTATTGAGTTGATGAAACTGCTTACGTCTAATACGGGAGCTATTCGGAAAGTAACCTTTGATGAGCTATTAACAAAATAACCAATGAGAAAAGAAAACTATTATACGCAAAAATATGTACATTGTTAAGCTATATCTCAAAGCAGTCACTGCCGGAAATGAGGCACTTGGATCGGGGAACAAGTTTTTGTATGTCTGCGTCAAAGAAGTCTGCCACCTGTGAGTTCAGCCACGTTTCGACACCTTCCAGCAACTCACCACTATTGTTGAAGCGGTGTGCAGGTGGTAGTCGTTCGGATCGAGATCAGGACTGTAAGGTTAGTGGTCAAACAACTCCCAGTCGAAATGTTCCAGCAGTGCTCGAGTGTGAGCAGCTTTATGAGGACGTGCACTGTCGTGGAGGGGCATCACACCGAATGTCAACATTCCATGTCTTTTGTTCAGAATGGCCTTACGTAGTTCTTTTAGTGTTTCGCAATATAGTTCTGACGTTATCTTGGTTCCTTGTTGCATGAATTAAACAGATGTCATCAGCTTTCTAGCAGAAGTTCGTTTAAAATTTTAAGGTTTGTTTGTTGAATGTGTGTGCATCCACTGATTTGACTGCTCCTTGGTTTCAATATTCATATATGAAACCCAGGTTTCATCACCTGTTACTAGTACAATGTGATTGACAACTTCATCGTCATCTTTGCGGTATCACTCTTAAAAAGTCAACCCCCAAGCCATTATCTGCGTTTTGTGCGCACCCAACATTTTCGGAACCCATCTTGCATAAAACTTGTGATAGCGTAGCCTGACTATGATAATCTCATAGAGAACAGTGTGTGGAATTTGTGGAAATACATATGAAACTTCTGAAATTGTGAAGTGCCGACTTTCACATATTTTTTGGTCAACACTTTGAACAAAATCATCACTCACTACAGATGTCCGACTTTTTCTCTCTTCATCGTCAATATCTTTTCTCCCATCTTTGAACATCCAACACTGCTGTATTACAGTTCCTTCACTCAATACATTTTGGCCGCAACCCACGCACAATCCCGTGATCTTTTTCTTGCTTCAAATTCTACAAAAAAAAACTACGTTAACAAAGCGGCATACGTTTTCACATTTATAAAGTAATGAACTTATGACAGAAACGTACAAATCGCATCGACATGTTTCGATTAAAACTGCCATAATCGATGAGAATGACTCGATGTCGAACACTTAGTACAGAATTTCTGCCAACAGACGACATCAAGTAGTGTATGTAGCTGTTCAGAAGAAATAATAGATTTTCACGTCATTTACGCCTGTGGTCGTTTGAAAGTTATCTGTGATTGCACTGTGGATTTTCCGTGCAAGTCTATTTACCCAAGGGTAACGTTGACCTTTCTCACAGGGAGTCCAGTGACGGGGTTTGGTAGTCAAAGGGCTAAAAATTACATGACGGAAGCTTAATCAAGTGAATAGGTAATGCAGACTTCCTTATCACAATCACTTTGTATGACATGCTCTTCATGACACAGAGGGTTTCATTGGGATAATGACAACATGTTGAAATTACAAACTTGACTTCGTCTGGTAAGTCTGATATGAAAAATGCCTCATTCATTCTGAATAACGAAAGTCAGTATCCATAACATATTACTGTTCAACATCAAAGGAAGCAGACTGCCCACAGCCACTCGAGGATGAGTCCATGGCGCTCTGCTTCAGATAAAACATACCACAAAGCAAAACCCTACGCAATCGATTTAAATTCTCTCATTTAATGGTAAGTAATTAAAAGCAACACAGAAGGGGAATAAACTAAAATGATATACTCAAGCTGAAAACAATTCTGCTGACGTCTTTGTATTAATGTCTTCTTGGAAAGGAGAATTTGTAACAATACAAGTTGTATTTTATATGTGCAAGGAAGAAGGAAGGGCTGTTGGAAGGCAACAGGGCGAACAAACTCAGTCTTTTGTTTGACCGTAACAATTGTTCACCCAAGACAACAAAAGAAAGAACTAGGAAACTCCATTTGTTCCGTCATGTGAAGAGCGAATACAGTGACATCTACAGCAAAAATGTTCAACTTTGTCTTTGGTTAGATTCTGACCTATGAGGTAAGAGGAATAAAAACCTACAACAAAAATATGATGACGAGATTTCTTTGTTAGAGGATATAAAACTACTGGGTACAGAACTTCACTAAGGAGGCCGTAGTACTATTCCTAACACAATGCAATCATCAAGACTGAAAAATGAATAATCACAGAAATGTATATGCAAGAAGAAAAAAACATGTAATTCTAGGAATAAGTTATTAAGGCTGCTACATGTTCGTCAAGTATTTCAGTTAATATTGTGACGTATAGACTCACTGCTAGGCAACGACAGCGTAAGCACATTAACACGGGCAAAAATAGGGCGTCTATTGAAAGGCAACGGATCGCTAAACACACCTCCTTAGCAACAGAGGCTGTGTTTTCTGCAAGTGCCGTGCAAAGTGGTTATAAGGAAATGTTCGGCAATATAGAACGGTAGTCGGAAGTGAAGGGTCGAGCTTCGAGACGCCATCCTGCCAAGATATGAGCTTGGGAGCAGAGTAATTGAATTTAGTCGAGTCTTCGGAATTGGCAGCTGCATAATAACGGCAAAAAATGAATTAGGGTGCTAAAAGAAGACTTCATATGTGATTTCAAGTTACAGTGAAACGGTTGTAAATCCGTTGCCAGGATACGGCTAGTGAAGTCTGAGAGCCCTAGTGTGTGTGTATCGGTGAACTGTAAAGTGTGCAGATTAGCGATAGCGCTGTATTGTGTGTAGTTCCGAGTGGTGTGTATAAAGTGTCAATAAATCCAATCACTCAATCCGGAACCCGTCTATAAGACACGCAAAAACCTATCCTAAATCGTGACAATATGATATGACTACGAACTACATCGCAAAAACTGAACTTATAGTGCCCTAAAATCTTTTCAGGCGATCAGCCATATTAACGTTGAGTTAAAAACCAACGTTTCAGAGCTCTCCGCCTAAATACGTATATTTAATACCCATGCACTACGATTCTAGAGAGACAGGCAGCATGTTCTGCAGAAATATTGGTATCCACCTGCAACGCTACAAGGTGCCATAACCCAGAAGGTCACAATCTGAACAGTCACCGCCGTGAAAAGGCAGTAACTCATAACAACGAACGCGTAAAGCGGCTCACAGCTGGCTCGACAAATGTGGCAAGCATTTCGCTGATGATGAAGAGGTTGAAACAAAGGTGCGGAAGTGGCTGAGACAATCCAAAAACTTCTGTGCTGCGGATTTCGACGCACTGGTAAAGCTTTGGGATAAGTGTATCAATGTTGGTGGAGGATATGTCGAGAAATAAATGTTTTTCCTCAGGTTCCAATATCACATGATTTACGTTTCGTGACCTATATACTGACTCTCAATCGTGTGTACTGGTTCTTTATTTACTCGTACATGGTAAGACCAGCAGCAACGGATCAGTTGCGCAATGAGCTCAGTAACACTACTATTGTTTATGACGCGTCTGATGATGGTATAAACCACTGAAACATGTAGCGCAGTAGTAACACTTTAATAAACATAAATTACTGAAAATAAAAATTTGTGACTGACGGATATACCACATATTAGTGATACATATAATATGACGCCCAATATACGAATGAGAACATGTACTCGTATTAGAACCTGAATATGAGAGACAACAGTTGGTGACGTAAGAACAATTAGATCACAAAGACAGGTCAACGGCCGCGCCATAGCTCAAGCGGTTAGTCGCTGGCTTCCCACCGCGGCGGCCCGGGTTCGATCCCTGCTCTGGTCAAGTGGGATTTGTGGTGGACAAAGTGGCGCTGGGCCGGGTTTCCTCCAAGTACTTCGGTTTCCCCTGCCCATCTTCATTCCACCAAATTCTCAATCATCATAATCACCCGGAGCAGGCTACAATAGGCCAATCAGTGGCCGCCGTGCTGAGTGGACCCAGTTGGACTCCACCCCTTACTAAGGGAATAAAAAAATGAAGACAGATCCACGGAAGGATACTCTTCATCGTCATTATCGTCAAACCCACATCATCACTATCGTGAATACTCACCAGCAGAAGGAAGGCGCCAAGAGCAAGGCAGAAGACAAGCGGGCCAGCCAAGTCGGTGTCCTGCAGAATGGATGCATCAGTTGTACGAAAGGGGTTCAGAACAGCCAGCGTCTGCAAGAAGACAATAAGGCACGCCTACGTTATCAGACCAAAGGACTGCATAGAAGTGACATCTATCATTCTCACTCCATAATATCACAGCAATATCAGCATCTGTCATGGCTATTAAGTTGGACACCACATACAGTGACAGAGCGTTTCGGAAACTGAACCCATTTTCGTCATTAGGTGTAAGGACGGAAAAGAATCCTATTGATCTGGGCGTATTTCAAAGAGCTAAAGATAAGGGGTAATGAATTTTTATTCCCTTACAACTGAGGACGGAAATGAATCCGTTTTCTGAAAAAATTGTGATTATCAATACACCTCAGATAATGGACAGTGACAAATATATCCAGGCACTGATAATCGTGAATCACCGATGCGTATGGTAGGAAACACCAATTTCATAAAAATTAGCACAGTAATTAAAAACATATTAGGATATACGACAGCTGCGTTGATATCACAACAATTTCTCATATGTAAAAAAGAGTGTGAAGGACATACTCCTTCCAAACTAATTTGTTTTCGGATTTCGAGACCTAATTACCCTTGACGTTAATCTATTGCAGAAAAATGACTGTCTCTCAGTCACACAGCACAGAGTCAATTATTAATTTCCTTTTTAATTTTAAATGTACCCAAGATTGAAAATGGTTTCAAATAAATTATGTAAATATCAGTGATGGCTAAATTTTAAATGTTGGCAATCGCGTTCAGCAGTTAAGTGGTACCTGTCAAGCTACAATCGTCAGTATATGTTACCGGTACACAGCCGTGTGACTTCCTGTGCCATCTCTTATCACACTCTTCAGACAGTTCACAAGCAAGACGTCACGTGACTCCACTATCGGTGTTTCAGTGACGTCGCTGCCGCTGACGGGGAGCGGATGTTACGTTATGTCTTCTAACACACAGAAAATAAGGTAACAGTACTTATGCATGCTGACCACTTTAGACTATTTTCCTTATTAAAAAGAATATAAGTAAGCTTACGAAACAACCTTGCTCTGTGAGTGTGTCCATATGTGTATCCCCACTTCGAACGCCTCAACCAATTTCTATTAAACTTGGTAGGTATATCATGGCGCCTGAGCCAATGTCAGCAACGTAATCCATAAATCATCCCTGCCAGTAACACCAACATTACAAACTCCAAAACTCCAAACTTTCTGAGGCAGAACTTAATATGATCTACAATAAACTTGCTACGTACGTGTATATCATGCCACACGAAGCCATCTAAAAGGAGTACTTCAATAATTCCTCCCATCAATAATATAAATATTTAAGTTTTTGAAATGCATAAAAAAAAACTTTTAATATTGCTTGAATGCCTGTACCAATCTTCATAAAACTTGAATTTATTTTATGCCGTCTGAGCCTATTTCACAAGCACCATCGCACAAACATCATCACTATAAGACAACACAACAGAAGAGTTTTACTTCTTCATACAACGGTATACAATTCAAAGTTACAACGTCATCTCCGGGGTAGATCCCAGGAGTTCTTCATAAAAATTCCCCGCATTTGTCGTCACTGTTACACTGTTACCAACCGCCCATATGTATACATATTACTGTCCTTTATACGAATGTACTATGTGTTTGCAAGACGGTAACCTGTAACGCTTCCTTTCCACGTCTGCAAGCTCTAGGTGCCCTAGCATGGCGAACTGCAATAGCTGAAACAACAGCCCTCTAATTGCCTTCTAACAGTTTTACAACGAAGCTGTTTTGACAGGAATGTATACTTTTAATAAGCAGGGGTTTATTAAAAGTGTGTAACATAAAAATTGGTAAATATCAACATTTCAGCAGGATTACAATTTATATTAAAAGAGCTAGGATGTCTAATTGATACTTTAGCTAGTAAACTACTAGTAAAGCACAATAGACCACTGTAGGTCGCGGTGCAAGGGCTGAGAAGGCCCATCCCTTATACATTCAAACTACTAGTATAAAGCAACATCTATAACTCTTGGTTTCGGAAATGAATACCAAAATATATTTCACTCACAATATCATAAACATGAAACATGTATCGATTAAAAAATAACACGATCTTACCACGCCCTAGCGTAGTTGGTTAAGGCACTATACTACAAGCCGGAAGGTCGCGGGTTCGATCCCCGAAGAGGTCACTGCATTTTTCAATTGACATAATCCTACTAGTCGCACTATGGACCTGGGGTCGACTCAAGTTCTTAACAGAAATACGTACCAGGCATCTTCCTGGGGGTAAAGGGCGGCCGGCGCATAAAGCTGACAGTACTTTCACCTGTGAGCCGATTTTCTAAAAAATGTGGGAGCCTCAAAGTCTCACAATTTTATGGGCCTCGATGGCCTGTTACAGAGATAGTTTTACCTTTTTCAGTATGATCACAAATTTATGTCCAAAATACGTTATTACTCCGCATATAAGACGCTCTCAAATTTAACACGCATCCAGGTTCAGAATGTGGGTTCTAGGAAAACTTTTAGAAAGGTACACATTGCTCGAATTTAAAACGCACCTCAATTTTTCAACGGAAAATTATGTGCAAAATATGCGTCTTATATTCAGAGTAATATGGTAATTCATTTTTCCATTCCTTTCCCAGCACCGAAACTTCAGCAAGGATACAAGAAGAAGGAATCCTTGTTAAAAGAGCCGTCAGCTCTGAGAATATAGCGTCACGCGCTAGAACTGGCAGGTATCTGCCGGTCACAAACACAACCCAGCAAACGGTACGGAAACGAGTAGGGTCTGAAAAGAGAGGGGGGAATGACGTCATGGCTAAGTCGCAGAGTGATGCCATATCCTTCTCATTCTAACCTGTCAGTGTTAGAATATATGTGGGAACAATTTAGATGCTCATTTCAAGTGTGCTTTGCAGTTATTGAGAGAAAGCTGTCATGTGCAGGTAAGGAAAGTTATATTATAGGTTCATCCATCGTTTCTGTACAGTTCAAAATTACACTCTGAATTAGAACCACACAATAGGTCTTTAAGACATGGGCCAGTTATTGTTTAAATATTACATCTATCTTCTGTGTACTCAATGTCGCAGCTTTGGAAACCCAGGTAATGTCTTATGAAATGGCTGAACTTCAGCTTCTGTATGTAAGAATGAGTGGCTGACTAGCTAACTTACAAATTACATGGGACTAAGTCCTTGAGAAGCCATCAGTCACTCAGTTGTTCAAGAATTTCCCAACGTTTTATGGAACCAGATGTTGGTTACAGTATTCACAAAAGCCCACCACTGGTCCCTAGCTTAAACCAGATTAATCCAGTCAATGACATACCAGTCGATTTCTCCAGCATTCACTTTAATATTATCCTCCAACTTACGTCTAGGTATTCATAGTGGTCCCTTTCATTCTAGCTTTCCCACCGAAACTCTGTATACATTCCTATATAGACGACTATCCATGGCTCTAACAGCAATTGTGGACCCTCGCAACTTTTTCAGTCTCCTACAGTCGCTAAGACACCTTGGACGCGGGATCAGCCCATCGCAAGGCCGCTACCTGCACACGGGACAACACAAACACAGGATAAAAGCAGACATCCATCCATGCCTCGAGTGGGATTCGAAACCACGATCGCAGTGTTCGCGCAGGAAAGACGGTTCATGCATTAGAACACATGGCCATTGTGATCGGCCTACGTTTATGATACTGAAATATATTCTCATGTATCAGAAAAAAAAATATTTAGGCTAACAAAAATTAAAAGAAAGCCGGAAAACTTATTTGGGAAAGATGTCCGCAGAGCTGCGTTTATTTCAGTCATGTGTGTTCGTCTGTTTGTTAGAAAATTACAATAATAAAATTACGAAACAGATTTCGATTAATATTTGCACGATAAACTTAAAATAAAATTAATTAAGAAATTTTGATTTCGAATTCCTTTGATTTATTTCAACATCCAATCGAACTTTCGTAAGGGCCCGCTTGACACAACGCTATCAGCCGCGGCCAGCATATCAACGTTATTGTCAAAAGTATCGAAGTCCACTTTGTACCATAAATGGATTCACTTTTCGAGTCATACTCTGATTCGTACATGCTAAAATATTTCCAGATTACGTCATTGCACTTGTCAATTGAACTAACCCTTCCAGCCGCATTGTTGCCGTGGCGTCGACTCAGCCTCTAACAGAAATGAGTACCAGGAATCTTCCTGGGGATAAAGGACGGCCTGTCGGTGCGTAAGGCTGTCAACCTCACCGCCATCTGTGAGCCGATTGTCTAGAAAATGTTGGATCCTCGACGTCTCACAACCTTATGGGCCTCCACGGCCCGTTACAGGGAGACTTTACCTTTAACATGGCCAGCGATGCAAATGTTTGGGATAATTCCAGCCAAATGTAAAGCAGACTGCTTTTTTCTTATGTTATCTAACGGAGTAATCAATATTGAGACAAAATAGTGTAGAATGTTGTTGGAATTTGTAATAATATAAATTATACGTCATAATAATTCATAATTTTTATTGGCCTTGCTATATGAATAAAAGCGCCGGTTACGGTAGCCGAGCGGTCTAAGGCATGCACTGTCTTCGCTCGCTCGGAAGCCGGGATCGTGGGTTCGAATCCCACTCAGGGCATGGATGTTTGTGTGCGTTTTTCTGTGTTTGTCTACAGGTAGAGGCCTTGAGACGAGCTGATCACTCGCCCAAGGAGTCCTACCGAATGTGTAAGATCTAGTAAACCGAAGTGAAACGGAGAGTTTCATGGAGGTAGGCCTAGGCCCATAATTGGGGCTGTAGCGCCACAGAAAAAAAAAATATGAATAAAAGTAGTAAGTTAGTCTGAGAAAATCTTTTTCCAGAATAGGATTTAAATAAAAAAAGAAAGACAAATGATGCTATTCAGGATATTACCCTCGCTCTGGTGTTCATTTAACGTAACTACGATGCGTTCGAACGTAATAAGATTTATAAAAACGTCAGAAAACGAAAACTCGTGATATTAGGCCCCACTACAATTCCAATCATATATTTCCCCCGACCCCCAAACGTCACGCTGTCAAGAGTGTGAAGAGGTGAGGATCCGTGAGGGGAAAGAAGGTGGTTTTTTTTTCCCCTCGTAGCTATAAGTGAAAGCAAGCGTTCACGTTAGGCTAGGTTGGGTTTCATTAGGTTCAGTTGGTTAAACTTCTGCCTTTCCGATTACAGAGTCAGGAGTCTAATCCGCAAAGACGTCCTTCTTTTGGACGTGAGAACTGACAGACGCGGAACAAGAAATCTGAAGGAAATCACTACCAGGAAAAGTCCAATATCTTACGAGCAGACGATTGGTAATCTAGTAATGGGTTCAGGACAAAAAAAGAAAAAATTTAGCCTAAAAAGGGGAAGATATATGCAGGAAATCCAAATGTGTTCGTAACTGCATGAATTCGATGTAAGTAATTGATTTGGAGATTTAGTTTAAAGGACATAATTTTAAATATTTGTCTTCTGCGATATAATATCGTGTAGTCCCTGGAAAGTCAACAAAATTTCCAGACGTACACATCGCAAGAAACCAGCATACAGAGGCGGCAAACAGATCTTCACTTGAAGTCTTGTCTCATGCTTGTTTCTTCCTTGGCTTAATCGTCAAACCTGAATATGGAGGTGCGTTCCTTCGAAACGTCAGTTGACTATATGGAGTTCTGTCCCAGAAGACAAACCCTCCATAGCCAACGCAGTATGTACCTCAAATCCTAAAACATAATTTTAGTGCACACTCAGAATACGTTGTAGGTAAATACAAATAAAACTGTACATATTTTCAAAGTGTTTAGTAATACGTAAAGATCTCCAATTCATTTTCTGTTGTCAGTGTTTAAAATAAATACTGTTTTAAGGAGACATAAATTCAAAATTTTTAAACTCGAAACATCTTCTTCTGATGACGAATTCTGATACGGAAGATTTTACTGAAAGGTACTCAGAAAATAAGTTGCATGGATTTTATTCGTCTAACATGAAGACCGTTGGAACTGAAACATCAACATCAATACCGAATTTGCAATACGAAATATATTGTAAGAAAATTTTTTCTGAACGAGCAAAATTTTATGCCTCTGAAACAATCTACATCAAAACTACAACACTCTAACTACAAAAGTTCCGGAATCCCAGTTATATTTAAACTATAGCAATAAACTTGATAGAATGGCATAATGCATCAAGCGATTCTTTTAGGAAATTGTTTCATCAAATGTGAACAGTAAAATGCAGACTCAAGAATATTTTCTCCTGCAGTTCGTTGCTTCCGTCTTCTGCCACTATTCATATCTTCCATCGGACATAATCCTGAGCTACATTCATCCATATTTACCCCCCATTCTCAAAATGTACCTCTCTAAAATAGATTCTAATAATATCATCAAATTTCCTTCAAAGATTTCCAAGTGGCTTCCCCACTAAAATTATGTATGAATTCCTTGTCTCTTCCATGCCCAGTTAAAAAACGTGTTATCAAGGTATAAATATTTAACAATATGGTCTACGCTTTGTTCTATAAAAATTTCTCGAGATATTTTATAAAATTCATTTTTAGCGCAAAGAAATCTGGCAGAGAACGTAACTACACACATTCACCTTCAGTAATTATTACATTCGGCAGATATATTTTCTCTTCTTACTCTCACTTTTGGAGCTTGTTTCCACTTTGGAGCATAGGGTTGTTTT